TGTGGGGCACCCGCCGACAAAATGCGTCGTTAGGGCCTGATTCGCGGCGAGCTGGGGTTCGATTCCCCGCCAGTGCATGACTTGGTAGCATAACTTTTTTTTTCTGAGTGACCTTCTTTCCAAGCTGGACGGTGGTGGTGGGCAATTGACGTGTGCCGAAATATGTGCCCACGCTTAATCACGGGATCAAATTGCTCAACAAACTGACCCAAATGTTCGACGGTCGTTATTTCGGTCTGAGCAACGGTAAACCAGTCTGAGCGAAAGGAAAACCCTACCTAAAATGTGAAGATCCTGTGCTTGTCCATGCCGCTTTTTCGAATTTCAAGGTTTTGCTGTATGGAAAGCGAGAAATTTCCACTCGGCACAAGGATAAGGAAGTCAAAAGCAAGAAATCGCAAATTTCGGCACGGAGGAGCACAAGATATAGGTGTTGACTACAATTCATCTCAATTGGTCAGTGATAAATGTGACGAAATGACATAGAAAACATCCGGCGACTGAGCCAAGTACCATCGATTTTGATGGGTTTTGATGCGAGTTTCTACCATGGATATGGCTCGAACCATCGTCCACTGTCTTCCTGTGCCTCGTAAACTGGCTGGAAGGTCATGTATGTACTTTTGCTTGATGTAGATACACCAAAATGGCTCAAAGTGCATGTTAGTCGTTTATCCAACTTGCCAGTCTGACAGCATTCGGATGAAGACACTTGATTTTAATGGCCTTGTACCAGAGAGAATATTCCGAGACTCTGGATAGGCAATCTTAACATTAATTCAGAGAAACCTGAGTTGAAACTTTGTTATTTGAGGGTGAGCTGAGGCGGGGAGGGTCGAAAAGGTGGCGGGTCAGCCGAATCAGACCAACGACCAATTAGCCGTGCACGTGACCGTAACGGATCGGCAATCGGCGTTGCCCACCACCATGGACGGTGTCTCCTGCGTGAGTTAATCTTGAGCGGTTAGGTCGGGCTGAAGTTTCAACACGCCCGACATCCCCGATCAAGGAACGTGATGGCCATCAGCGGCGGTGCACTGCCCTGCTGTTTCGCGGCTGACATGGTGAGTTCGATTTTTCTGCGCTTTCCCTGAAGAAGGAATGCGCAGAGGGGAACGGGGTGGGAGAACGAGGTGTTGCATGCTTGCAGCGACACCTGAGGTGGCGGCGTTTTTATAACACGACTTTTGCCGACAGCCAGCTCCAGGCAAGGAGCCCTGTTTATCCCGTGGGAGGTCGGATACCGATTTCGGCCCTCCGAAAACTTTTACCCTAACTTTTTGGTCGGTCCCGCTCCAAAAATTTACCCGAATTCTGCATCTAGTGGGACCACGGCCCTTATTTTGCCCGAACTTTGGATCTGACCTCCAGTTTTCCGTAAAATAATAATTTGAAGGCTCTAAAATCGAAAAAAAAAAATACCAGCGATACTACTCGTCCGTCTCCGCAGCTCCCCGATGTCGACAATGTTGGCATCTGCTTTCCCCTTTCCCCGATCCCTGGGCCGTTTCCCGCACGGCGTTGGTTTATCTTGTCGCACAAATCCAATTGTTAGGATCAGCTCGTCTTCATCGTCCTGTTCAAGTCGCAGTAATAGTAGATAGCTCAGTTCAGCACCATAGAAAGTTCCCGTGTCCAATTCAGGGAGAGCCCAGCACAATCAATAAGTTCTTCGGAGATCAGACTTCTCGTCCAATATTAATGTCGGCACCGCACACGAGCCGCAACCTTTGCAAGCCACTTTTTGTTCAAGCTAAAACAGTCGGCATATCTCGGGTCGGTTAACCCTCTTTGGCAAGCACAGCCTTACCCGAACTTTGCTCCGACCTCATTCGAAAATTTCCTCCCTATCTTGTCCCTATCCGAACTTTCGCTCTGGGATATTTCGGCCGACTCCTTATTTTATCCGAACTTTCCACCAAGCTCGGGTCAAAATTTTCGGAATTTTACCCGAACCAGGTATCCGGCCTCACATGGGATAAACAGGCTCCTTCCAGGCATGACGTCGAGGCAGTTTCAACGTGGCACGTGGTGATGCGGGAGTTGCCGGGGTGGGTCTCACGCTGTCCGCCCCTGAAGCAAACTCAACTACGATCTCCAATGATCTCGAGAGTCCGTTTAGCGGTATTTCGTTACGGTTGAGTAAGATCAGAAGCCAGGGTGCAAGAACTTGCTCTTTCTTTCAACCAAAATAACCACGCAAGAAACCGTATGCCGTCGGGACTAGGAGTCGAACCTCCGCACTGGTAGTGGCGACAAGCCCATTCCGGGACGGCGTTAAATTTCTGGCTGTCGCAGTCGGTATAGATCTAGGAGTGCAGTCCGGTGGTGTCACACTCGCCCTGCAATTCATTGCAGTTCACTTTTCATCCTTTCGAATCAGGGCGAGTATGTTGGCCAAACTAGACGGTGACTACGTATGCGGTGTGGCGATGGATGGTGTGGGAAATTGAACTAAATGGGAGAGCCGAAATTCTCGGCTGCTTGGAAACCCCTGAACGACAGCAAAACAAAAGGCATTACCACCATTATCCCACCGAGTCGAACGGGGATCTCCTGCACAACGATGGCTTGAGAGTTGAAACTTGCGGAATGATGGCAGGCGCGCGCCGTGCGCCTCAGGTGCTGTACCCCCTCGAGTACTACTGTGCCTTACGTCGGAGTTTGCGCTGGATACTCGCCGGTTGAGCGCAAACCTTCGCCCCGCCTCCGCCAATGATCGAAGTATCACCACCGCACGAAACCGGGTCCGGAGGCGGCGAGTTAATTGACTCCGGCAGTTACCCTCCCATATTCTCGGTAATGAAAGCCAGCATTCCCTATCTATGTTCCGTGCCGAATGTACCGTAGAGATTCACTTGCGGATCATTGGGATATCATGATAGTGTGTTGAGGCGAAGGGACGTGAATCACGAGCACGTAAGTGAGTTTCAAAGGTAAGCAGAAAAACACCGGTGGTGTGTGGTACACCTGCTGGCGAAATAGAGCGGCGTGAGAGGTTGACGGCAGGACCGGGGTTCGATTCCCCGCCGGTGCATGTCGGGGTTCGCCAGAACTTTTGTTTTATATTCTCCTCCGCATCCTATCCTAGTTCTAACGGCCGCTTTTGCGTCACTGGAAAGCATCCATGGGTTGGCAATCATGAGGGTCGGAGTGAGTAAGTTATAAATAGTGTTCAACTTCACGGGATCGTGCTTCATCAACCCACGCATTGTCAAGAACTCACTTGCGAAAGGGAAACGTGAAGTTTAGAAGCACCGGCGGTGTATGGTACACCTGCTGAAACAATAGGGGGGTTTTAGACTTAGAGCAATACAAGAGCGACACTGCATTCAGACGGCACGGAGGCAGAGGAAGCCGCCCTGGGCCGCGCTATGCCTCCATGGCGAGACAGAGTCGGTCTCCGTGGGTTTTCAGGTAGGCAGAGTCGGTCTCGGCATGGAGGCACAGGTCAGTACAGGGCGACCGACTCTGCCTCCAGGCGGCCTGAATGCAGTGGGAGCTGGGGTTCGATTCCCCGCCGGTGCATAGCTTGAGCTTGACACCATGTTCTTTCTTCCTCAAACTCACCGGGCGTTATGATGATTGAAACGCCCAGTGAGGAGGATGCGTCATTAATCCACGCAGTGCCCAAGCTCAGATGTTTTGGGGATGGTACACCTGTGGGCAGAATTCGCGGTTGCGAACAGCGTTACGACGACAGGTCGGGGTTCGATGGATTCGGCACGAGCTTTTTTCTGACGCCAGTGTGGGCCATGGGGTGTCATCGCTCCTGGTTCACCCACAAATAATTGATGGTCATCTTGGTCAGGACATTCGACCTGCCATGCATGATAGATGTCATCGATAGTCCAGCGAGCCCCAGCAAAACAAGACGCTTAAGCAGCATATACAGAGCTCAAAATCAACGGCACAGGCACCGGTTGTGTACACCTGTCGGCTGAATTCACAGCTGCGAACAGTGTTACAACGACAGGCTGGGGTTAGATTCCATGCCAGTGCATGCCCAAGCACTGGAGTTCTTTCTTTTTTTCGGACCCCCCAGTCACAGATGCAGCCACAGTCCTCTCAGCCGGCACTAACAAGGCGAAGAACTTACTGTTTGATTACAAAAAGACCTCATGAAGAACTTGCTGTTCAGCCGACTCACAACCACGGCCGAGGTGCTCAATCAGTGGCCTCCCAATGAGCGTAAAGAAGAGGAAGCGAAGCCATGCACACCCAGACAGCTTGAATGCAGAGCTAGGGAGCACCGGTCGTGTGTGGTTACATGTGTTGGCCAAATCCCCGGATCGCACGAGAGATTAAATCGACAAGACGGGGTTCGATTCCCCGCCGCTGCTTTATTTTGGATCTCGGAACCGTTCTTTTGTCATTTGTGCCAATGTGGCACAGTGGAATCATTAGCTGTGTGAGAGCGAGGAGGCGTTTCGTGCGATCTCCATCCAATATTCAATATATATTGTGCATGATTCCGACGGTCCCCAAGGCGTGGCATCTTTTAAGCTCAGAGGGGGAGCACACAAACACCGGCAGTGTATGGTAAACCCGCTCGATCAATGTCCCATAGCGTTTGATCGATACTGGAGCGAGCTGGGGTTCGATTCCCCGCGGGTGCATAGTACTCCAGTGGGTCTTTTTGCGGCAAAATCACCGGGAGCTATGATGCTTCCAATTGCACTTGTATCAGAGGATCGATGCCCTTCTTGGGCTGCGCTGCAGAAGGAGTGGTATCGAAACGACTGCTTGTTTTTGCTCGGCCTCATCTCGCCGACTCGATACACCCATCAACATTGCGAGAAAAGACCTCAAGTTAGCAAGGTGTAAAGTGAAAGATATGCGCACCGGTTGTGTGTGGGACAGCTGTCGATTGGATTCGTAGTCGCCCAGGAGGTATCTCAACGGCAAGGGGGTTAGAGCCATCTATATTATAGCGGCGCAGGGGTATAAGGAGACAATTATAAGTGCGGCCTTATGGTGCCCAGAATCTCAAGGTCCAAGCACTGGTAGTGTGCGGCACACCCGCCGACCGATTTCATCAACACCGCTTGGTTCGCGGCGAGCTGGGGTTCGATTCCCCACCAGTGCATCATCTGACGCCATACCTTTTTGAGCCATCTTCTCCTCACGCTTGACAAAATAGCACAATGGTTTTTCTCCTGCGCAAGTCAACTTGAACCTTGGATGGTTGGGTTGAAATTTCAACAAGTCCGATCTCCCCGATCAACGAACGTGATTTCCATCAGCGGCAGTGCCCTGCTCTTTGTCTCTGTTTCTCGCCCGGCTTTTTCTCCTGACTTCCATCTTCTCGCTTTTCCTGGCTACGTCAAGTCTCCCTATCTGACTCGCTATGACTGTACTATATTCGCTCTCCGTCCCCTGTCTGCAATGAATCAACGCTGAAACGTTCCCCGCCCACGTTCGGGCTTGCGGCGCTTCCTGAGGCTTTTACGCAAACCGTAAGCAAACGTGGGCGGGAAACACGCACGTGAAGGGGCTGCTAACGCGGATCGGCGCTGAAATGAAATGAATCCAAATCCGAACTTGAACCCGCTGTTCCCCGTCTGTCCCCCTCTGGCTATAGCTTTGCTCTGGGGCCGAAAAGTAAGGACAGATACCATATACCCCCGACCACAAACGCTTGGGGGATCCTCTGCGCTAGCTTTGCTGTTAATTGGATCTATGAAGAACGCGGACGCTTCGGGACGTGGTAGGCTGGCTTCGGACCGATTTACACCTTCGCCGGATCATCGTTACACTAATCCATATTTAACGCACGCGCGGCGCGGCGCACGTACAAAGCATCCTCTTGCTTCGGCCTTCTGCCCAAGTCGATTCGCTGTCACTCCCCCCATCGATGGAGGAGCACGATGGGCCGCTGCGGGTTGCGATTATCGTCGGTGCGCACCACTTTCCCCTTCTTTGCCCCGATCTTCGAATGATTACGATTGTGATGATGCGCCCACAGAGAACTTTTTGCCCAAGATTGACGGGTCGACGATCACGATCTCGCATCTTTTGCAGCACCTGAACGAGACGGGGGTGCAGGCGATGTTGTTTGGGCCGGAGAGTGGGATGGTGCGTTTTATTGGCTGTATTGCTCACCCGAATATTGATTCTGGCCAACCCTCATTTTTCCTCCATCGTTGTTGGATGATGAATGAATTCATGCGTCTGCAGACGGAGTACGCTGGCGCGAAACTATTCGGCACGTACGGCGTCCCGCTGGCCGTGTACCCGGGACTCAAGATCAAGTGCGTCGCGTCCCCCTCCTTCCCTACTAATATCCCCTTTCCCTCCTAGCTCGCTCTTTCAATTCATCTTGTAATACACTCAAACTGAACCCACCTACACAGCTTCATCTCCCCCGCCTTCCTCTCCGCCCTCCGCGCCTTCCGGCCACACGTCATCCACCTCGTCGACCCCATCTGGCTCGGCGTCCAGTCGCTCGCGGCGCTGCAATTCCTCTCCTCCGTGATGGGGATGGGGACGGATGAGGAGAAGGAGAAGGAGATGTGGAGGGTGCCGATCGTGACGAGCCACCATACGAATTTGCCGACGTATGCCGCGGTGTTTGGGTGCGTTGCCTCCTTCGTTTATTTATTCAAATTGCGTGTTTCTTTTCACTTGATTCGAACGCCGTGCTGCTCGAATGTGTCACCTCTTTTGAGAAACTCCAACTGACCCTCACGATGCCTGTAGATACCCGTACTTCCACCACCGCACCTGGGCCGTGCACGCCTACCTGCACTCTTTCGCGCGCTACACCCTCGTCCCCAGCGCCAGCACCGCGGTGTTGTTACGCGCCAAGGGGTGGGGCGCGACGACGTCGACTGATGGGACGGCGAGAGGGACGTTGAGAGTTGTGGGACGGGGTGTCGATCGGGGCGTGTTTTCGGTGAGTCTCCTCCGCTTCCTTCATTTGCGCTCCAATTTTTCCGTCTCAAGCACTCTTTACTTTGTTTCCCTTGCCCGCACCGTGCTGATTCCTCCGCTAGCCTTCCCTGCGCTCGGATAAACTGCGTCATTCGTGGGGCGCCACCCGACCAGACGATGTCGTGGTTATGTGCGTCGGCCGGTTGAGCCGGGAGAAGAACCTGGGACTTATTGTGGAGGCGTTTGCGAGGTTGGAGGGGTGCGTGTTAATTCAGTTTCATTTTTCTGTTTTCCCACCCTTGACGGTGCCTACATTGCGCAATATTTCTGACCACCGGTGCTCTTGTATTTTACTTCCCCTTTCCCTCAACACCGCACTTCGTTCCTCTCCACGTCCAAACACTCTCCTCAACCGCTACGATACCACTACTAACGCACCAACAGGCCCGCCCGTTCCCGTGCGCACCTCGTCTTCGTCGGGGACGGGCCCTTCCGCGCACAGCTGCAGCAGCTGTGTCTCGAGGCGGGGGTGAACGCTGTGTTTACGGGACAGCTGACGGGCCGGGGGTTGGGGGCGGCGGTGGCGAGTGGGGATGTGTTGAGGTAAGATTCTTCAATCTTAGCCATGCCGTTCCGTATCGAAGACTCTTCATCTGCGACCCGTAACTAATGCTCTCGCCTCTAGCTCTCCCTCAATAACCGAAACCTTTGGCCAAGTCACCCTCCAAGGCATGGCCGCCGGCCTCCCCGTGGTGGGGCTCTACGTCGAGGGCACGGCGGACCTCGTCGTGCACGGTGTGACGGGGCTGTTGCTTGATCCCCTGTCGGAGGCGGAGGATTTTGCACCACCGGCGTTTTCGTTTCTTGCGGAGGAGTTTTCTTTCACACAGCCCGGGCGGACGGAGGAAGTTGGTGGTGCGTACGCAGGCGGGGCGCAGGCTGGGACTGGAAAGGGTCCCCACGACTCGGCGGTAGACCTTTCGCTCCCACTTCCACTTCCACGGCGCACAAGGGAGGGGGTGAATGTAGACGACGAGGAGGAGGATGAACCAGTCCCCGACTCGGCGATCTCGTTGTCGGGCTCGCCGAACCCGTTCTTGTCGCCTTCGCCATTCACGTTGGAGGGGGATGCCGACGCCGACGCGGATGCATTCGCGCTCCCGCCCGCCGCGTTGGATTCATTCGCTTTTTCCTCTGCCCCTACGTCTTTCGAAAGAGGTGACCAGAACGGGAGCACGGCGTCGATGAGCCTCGTGGGGTGTTTCCGCACGCTCGCGCCACTGATGCGACACCAGGCGCCAGAGTTTGAGGCGATTGTGGAAGGGTATGCCGGGTTGATTGAGAGGTTGATCGTGAGTATCTCTATCTACTCTCAAGTCCATGTCGTTGAACGCTCATCCGTATGATCATCAGCTTGACCCAGACCTCCGCTCCTCCATGGGCAAGCGCGCAGAGGAGCGCAGCCGCGCGTTCACCTGGGAGGGGACGAGCGCGAGAGTCGTGGAGGCGTATTGGGATGCGTGTCGGGATGCTTCGGCCGCTCCTCCCTTGTCCTCCAACTCGACCTTTTCCCCCTCCTTCTCACCCGCTGCACATATTCAAGCGACAGAAGCTGACCCACTCCTCCGCTCCTCCTCCAAGAACCTGCCAACTTCACGAACAGGCAGCGACTGGACGTCGGCGCTAACGTGGGTTGTGGACGTTCTCGTCGTGGCGCACGCGCTGGTCATCGCGACACTCAGCCATGCAGCGTACATGGTGCCTACTGTGGCGGATTTATGGGGCCGATAGTGTTTACAGTTTCGCTAGTTATCCATCCTCTTATTGGGTGGATTGCTCGCGGAGTATCCGGTGTTGTGGTAACGTTTGAGTAGAGTGGTTCGGGACGTGAGTACAGGCGTCTGTACTGGGGCTTCGGGGTGGAGGTGAGTTGACAAGGGGGTAGAGCGGGAGATAGAGTGGGAGGAGAGCGGCTTTCTTCTGCTTTTTGTTCAATATTCTGTTTTTGTATGTATTTGTAGGGCTGCCGCCCGTGCCCGTCACGGGCACGGCCGTGGAATCGACGGGTTGGCCACGGTACGGCCCGTGGGTTGCACGGCCCGTCGAGCTGCTGTAAAATAGCTACACGGTACGGCACGGTCTACGGTACGGCCGTAACGGTTACACGGGTAGGTGATTATTTCTTTGCATCCTTCATGGCGTCGATTTGGTCCGCTGCTATGGTTGCGTTGATCCTGAAGTTGAAAGTGTCGGAGCCCGGAATAAAAGGTCGACACGCGCCGAATTGGATTGGATCCTATAGGCAATCGGTTGACATCCATTTTTTAAGCATCCTTCTTTGCTCGTGAGGGCTCTGAGCAATTGCTGAGTCTGAAGAACTCGGGATGAGCCGAATCGAACTCACATCAGAGTCGGCTATCAATACCGGCAATTGCCGACATAGAGCAGGATTAACCGTTCTTTAACCAGATGGTGCGTAAGCTGTGCATTTACTCCATATAGTTCCATCTCCATTCTACGCCGTCTGCTCTCGCCCTTAAACAACAGGTTCATTTACTCCTTCTGTAGTGGTGCGCGGGGGCCTGATGGGCTCTCTGCGTCCTTGCTTCTCTGTAAACGCGGCCTGCGCAGGAGTTGCCGAAGGTCCACGCAATGGACCGAAAATTTCAACCATGGCAATATTGCCCACTCCTCCCTTTTCAGCTAAACATGTGGCATGAGATCTCAATGCATTGCACAGACACAGCCTAATGTCGAAGACGATCCGTCCAGTGTTCCAAAAGGGTATGTAGTACGCCTGACCTCCTCGCAGTTCATCGCAGCATATCCGAGCTACGGCGCAGCCAGATTTGTCCGAAGATATTCCACTATAAATGGTCCGCCCACCCGACAGCTCCGCACTTCCTCTTCTTCCAACTTCCCGGAGAAAATATAAATCTCGACAACCCTGGTTCCTTGCAACGCAAATTCGTGCAGTGGTTATTTCTGCTGGCAGGCTCCACGACCTCAATTTTGTTACGCAACGTCGTCCGAATCAAGTCGCTTTGCTTATTTGTGGAATCTGAAACCGCCGCTGCATGCCAATTGCTGGAAGCCCGGATCCAACGCTCTATCCAACATCTTCAATTTTCTGAACGTTTGCTGGCGCTGCAAATACAACAGGAATATTTGTCTCTTGCCAACACTGTTAATGGGCTGGTTGGGCACTGGGAT